TAAACCAAGTTGATATTTTGCCAGGACTTTGAAGAAACAAGTTACCTTTCTGAACTTGAAAACTCTTTATTCCAGTTTATTGTAATGTGAGAAAAACATTCTAGTTATTATTTTTAAATCTAAAATGAAGTGATTTTTTTTTAATTTTCTAAATGAAGAAAATTAAAAACTTATTATATAATCTTAAGTGATTCCAAACATCTGCAGTTCAAAGTACATAATTCACATTGATACCAAAGTTTAGTTTCTGTTTTGACTGGAGGAGTCTGGTATTATTTTTTTGTCTGCGAAAGAGAGAGTTGTATAGCATCCAAGTGGGAAGATGTTTGATTGTAATACAATCAAAATGATTTGTGACAGAGAGAATTGTAGAGGAGGAGAAACAGCAGCTGTTAAAAATTTAGACACTATTAGAGAACTTTTTGTTAAAAAATTAAATTTTTTAAAGTAAATTTAAAAACTTTCAGAAAGTAAAAATAAAACGGAATCATAATGTATTGTCAACTTGATAATTCAGAATTCATGAGTAAGAGGAAATTACTGGTGAAAACAGATTTTGTAGTAAACATGGGCCAATTCATTTTATTAAAATTTGCTATTGATTTTTATGTTTTATATGTTAAATTTACTCATGTTGTAGAATCATTTTGTTTAAAGAGGCTAATTTCATCTTTTTTATCAATGAGTTTCGAGAGCATACAGTTATGAACCTGTGATATGTTCACCTTGCAACAACTATCCATTCTTTTAACCCATATTTCCCCACTCAGTCCTTCTCATATTATTTTAGGGACATCACAGACAAAATATCCTCTCAATACGTAACTTTTGTGTATTTTTAAAAGATAACGACTATTGTTTAAAACAACCACAATACCATTATCACCCCAAAATATGAACAGTAATTCTTTAATGTGTGAAACACCTAATTGGTTTGCAAATTTAAATAAGCTTAAACACAGTAACCTTTTTCTCTTTGTTTTGAATCTGTATCTAAATAAGAATCACACATTGCAAATGATTGAATTGACTTTTTTTTAGCTTTATGATCAGTTTTAGTTATTTTTCAATTGCAGTTGACATCAATTTTTTTTTAATTAAATTTTTTGGGGTGACAGTAGTTAGTAAAATTACATAGGTTTCAAGTGTACAATTCTATAATACATCATCTCTGTATCTCATTGTGTGCTCACCACCAGATTGACTCTTAACACTTTATAGATTCCCCTTCTATCTCTTATGTCTTTTGGAATTTATTTTTTAAACAGACTGAGTCAGTTTTCTTTAAGAGTTTCCCAGTTTATTCTTTGCATCTCTGTAGTGTCATTGACTGTGTTCCTCTCTTTTTCTATAAGGATGGCAATTTAATCTAGACGTTTGATCAGATTTAGAATTGTTTTTATTAGCAAGACTGCTTTACAAGTTTTGTGTTGTTTCATCTGGCAACCCATATTGGGCTGTGAATGAACTGTGTTGTTATTGGCAGATCTCAATGTCTAGATCTCTTAGTATATTAATGATTTCAAAATTGTGATGTGCTAACATTCCTTTTTTCTTATTAGCTTGAATACTTCTATAGTCATCATCTTATCTATTGTTTGATTACCTATTGTTAAAAGTCGATATAAGAAAGGGTGGATGAATTCTTGGCTTACTATATTCCCCAACAATGACAATTAGTTCTTTAAATTTTTAATTGTCATTATAAGCTCAATAATTTAAACATATTCTATGTGTCTCAATATATTGCAGTTACTATACTTATTGATGTTGAAATTGTCTTATCTTGAGCTAGTGAGGAGCTTTTCAAGGTGGCTTCTGAGTCCTGTCTGAGTCTCTTTGATAGTTCCTGAGTTTTGATCATTAATATAAAACTTCTGCCAAGGACAGATGTTCCTGGATTATATTACATTTCTTGTCCCAGATCTGGAGTGAGCCATATATTCATGGAGTCCTTTATTTTTAGTCATAAATGGTACTTGGAACCCTCAACTACCATGTCCTAGGGGGATTCATTCCTGCTGGATTTCCTGTTGTCCCTAGCGTTTTTCAATTGGCAGAACTTGAAAACACACACACACACATTTTTTAAAAAAGATAAGACTCTATCTTCATACTACTACTGTAAATTCTGAATTAAAGGGAGTTTACTTAACTTTTTAATCTTTCATCTGTATCTTTTGTGGCAAGAATCCTCGTTCTCAAGGACACTGACAATACGAGATAGCAATTAAGTTCAATTTGAGTATTAAAACTTTTTAAGTATAAAAGATATAAGAAAATTACTAGGTCAAATTCATGCATTAGAACTCTTAAAACATTAATATTTGGCAGAATATGAACAGGGAAGATACTATGTTATTTTAGTTGTGTCAGTTCAAAATGAAACTGTCTAAAACCTTGTCTTACTTGATTTTGGGACAAACGTCTTCTCTAGCATTTGTCTTGTTCCTTTTCATTCATTATAGTAGAGGGTATCACTAATGTAGCCCTTTGGGACCCTTGCCGCTTTGAGTGGTCCCTGAGCCTTATCTCTTGTCTCCTATATGCATGGCCATGGAAACTGAGCCTGGGTATGTAATGTGGATAAATGCCCTCAGTGTGCAAAAGTAGCTTTACTGTTCTTAAGCTCTACTTATCTCTCTGGTTACAGTATTTCATTTGAAAATTGGCCTGGGAGTGCCCTGTCCATCCTTTGAGAAAGAATGAAAGAACATGAACTGAAGAAACAACATAGAATTGAATAAATTTAAAGAAATCTTAAATATAGTTAAATAGAAATCCAAAAGTGTATTTGACAAGAGCATTTATGTGTGTTTTTATTCAGTTGAAAGTTAGCGTTGGCTCACCACAGTTTGATTCCTAGGTCAATGTTAAATTTAAACCTCATGAAGAAATGAAAATAAACATTTATTTCTTGAGCTAGAATGAGTGAATTCTTTTTCGTGCGTTTTGTAGATAGGAAAGCAGTCTCTATCCTTGGGTCATTTCTGGTGTACTGGGAATACAAAAAATAGGTGGTCAAGCAACTCGTGACCATGCTTTCTCACTTGCACCAGATGTTTCCTATGTTGTTCCTACCTTCATTCCTTCTCTCGTGTATTCTTCCTCTTTCCCCTCTTTCAGCTTATAAAATCATGGACCCAAAATAAACTCAACTTGGGCATAATCTGCTTCATGAAACATGCTTTTACCCCCATAGCCAAAATTACCCCACCATTGTAACCTCATAGTTCATATTTAGTTATTCCATTTTAATAATGCATAATAATCATGTACTCAAATTAATTGAAAATGTAGAACTCTGGTAGAGAATATTTCTACTAAATTGTAATGCTCACTGCTATGTCGTAATTCATTTTCATGTGTTATGATTTGTGTCTTCAGTACACATTTGTATTTTGATTGCATTGCAACCAAATATTTTAATTGTTACAAGCTAAAAAGGGATACAAAATTTTATGTGTAAATCATGTGCCCCCTCCAAATAAAACCCAAATGATGTCATATCACAAAGGTTTCGCTCATGTGATTTTTAAAAATGTGATAGGTGAATTAAGTTGTCACATAACACATGGTGGAATAGACATGGCAATGTGAAAGCACCTGCCACTATGTATTATATTATATTTACAGAACTTAGTTTAGCAAGACTAGCTACTTAGTTAATATTAGTTTTAAAAGTTTTGATTTTGTAATTATTAGTTTATAAATGTGTTTTGGTTTCATAATTGTATTATATACACTGAGGCTTGTATACACAATTATGTATTTGTATATAAACATCATTATGTAATTTAAGTCAATATCAAGTTTTTTTTAAAGGGATTTGTATTACTCAAGGTTGGGAAATAATGATACAGACTGCAGAATATTACAGAGGTCACAGACAGAATCAGTGTTGGAGTAGTAAGAAATGACAATTTGAATTATGACTGCATCGTGATTATAGCATAATAATGATTTTTAATTCATTATGACAACTAGCCATATGTCAAATAATCTAGAAGTAACTTGGTCCTGATCTTCAATCAATATCCATACCTACTTATTGTTACTACTTAAATATCCTAATTTAATAATAGATAATTAAGGAGTGATTTTTAATTTTTTCCTGAAAGATGGGATTAGTACTTTATTCTTTTAGCCAGTCCCCCATGTATGTTCAGATGGTTCTGATATGCCACATATCAGTTTATATCCTATACAATTATTGTGTAAAATGTTTGATATATTCATATTAAGATGTTCTATGCAAATAGCATGATATTTCAGTGATTTTTTTAACATAGGTACTTCTATTATATTATTAGCCCATTCATGCTTTTACTTATAATTTCTTTTTACTTATATTCTCATATTCCCAGTAGGTCAGAGTGTCATTTCATACGTTTGCTGTCACTTGTTTTACTTAAAAATAAGGTTTAGTCAAAATAGAAATTAAAAACACTTGTTTCTTTAGTTGTTTCCAATTCTTAAAGCATGCTGTAGTTGTTACTTTTTTCCCTACACAATTGTTTCTTTAGATATTTCTAAAAATCTGAAAAATATCTTACTATATCTTCTTGTGATAATTTTAATCTTTAAAAAGTTAATAAAAATTCAAAATAGAATATACTGCAGTTTATTTGGAATCCAATGTGATTTTTAGAAGAATGCTTATATTGAGCCAACAGATATATAACGAAAACCATGTGATTAATGAAGAAAATAATTTTAAATGTAGTTTGATCTTAATTTTATTTTTAAAATAGTATTTTCTAATTTACATGGCAATATTTCAATTAATAAAAGACAAACTGAAAATTGCAACTGAATAGCCAGAGTACTGTAAACATGGTTTGTTTATATTCAACATTACTTTTTAACTTAACTATTTTCGTTGCAAAAGATACCTTGTCTTTTAGAGAGTACAGTGGTATTATTTACATTAATTCATGTGGCTTGCTGAAAAAAATGCTAGAACTCCTTTACTTAATGGGATTCTTCCCCTGTGGCAGTGCAAGCGGCTGGAGCAGGAGCTTCGTCATTTGAAAGAGCAGAACCAGACTTCAGCAAACAACACGAGACATCTGACTGCTGAAAACAATCAAGAACGTGCTCTGAAGGTAAATCTCTGTTCCTTCTTGCAGGCAAATTAAGGCTGTAAGCCCTTGGTGCCAGCTTTCTGTGCTGCATATATCAGTTGTGTACATTTCAGCAGAAGTGAGCTGTGCTGTTTGCCAACAACCCCTTCTTTAAACACAGATACAGCACCCTTCTGCTATGGTATTATTTTACCTCGTGTGTGTGTACATGAAAACAACATATTTTCTGAATTTTGAGTGATGGTCTGTTAATAACTTGGTACATGTTCCTTCTGCGTCTGATTTTTATAATGTATTGTTAGCTTTTGTAGTTCTCAAAAAGTGGCCACACTAAAAAGAGAAAAAAAAATAGATCATGAACCTTTTCTGTCTATCAATATTTATTACACTAATTTTTTAAATGACTTGTGATATTAGTAAACCACAGAACTGACACTCCTTGAAGGGCATGTGAATATGTTTGGGAATTGAGATGGTGTTTAAAATGTTACTTATTACCAAAAAAGGAAGAAAAAATGTATTCTACTAGAATGTGAAACAAGTGAAGTGTACATTTCATGACAAGGAGTTCTGTTCATTGTAATATAGATCCAATAATCATGAAAAAAGGACAATATCTTGATTCTAATCATATATTTTTTTTCATAAGATGCTTATGACTTCCCATTCTCCTTTTTTGTCTTTGCCCCAGTTCCTAGCATACTGCCTGTGTCCCAGTAGTGGTCACTGCCCTCAAGGTGCTTACATTCTTATTGACAGGTTAAAATTAAAAACACAAACATATCCATGAGAAACAGTAAAAAAATCCATCATTGTTGATATTATGCAGTAAAAAAAGATGTGCTATCTAGAAAATTATATAGTACTTCGTTATCTTGAATTCATTTTTTGCTACACAGTACAAAAGAATATTATGCCATTGGCAGTGTAACTCCCTAAGCCAGATTCATCTATCAAAATTGAGAATGTTTTGGCATTTTGATGTGGAAAATACTTTTCATCTATCCAAAAAGTGTGATTTTTCTACAAAATGTATTTAGTTTTATTTTGAAATTCTGTCAGTGATAGGCTTATAATAACTTATTATTTAATGTACTTTCTCTTCTTTGCTGTCAAATTTATAGATAGACCAGAACAAAAATGGGAAAGAAAAGACTTGTAGATTGCTGTGATTATTGATTAATTACCCCAAGGAATTTACTCTTGTATGAGTAAAATTAAGTATAATAATTTTTTAATGTATACTTGCAAATTAAAAGTAATATTGTTTTAAAGGCAGCTTCCATTATTGTGTGCTAATTTATTATCAGCTTTAGGAGACAGATCTCATAGTTCTATGTGATATGGCTATTTCCATTTAAAACAGAACTTAAAATGAAAATTCTGGTTTGGTAAGTACATAATAATTGCATAATCTTTATTCTGGCATTTTAGGTTGTGTATTTATGTTAAATTGAATTAAATGGCAGCTGCTATTTATAGAGAGAAATAGATGCACATTTTTAACAGGTTATTAAAATTAGAAGGCAAAATGTAGACCGAAAGAAACGTGAAAGTTCACAAGAAAACCCAAACCCCGTAAAATAGAAATCTCTGTAAACTGAGGACCATATAATTTAAAGTAATGTATAAACAAAACTACATTTTGACTCCTCACAAATATACTACATTAAAATGTTTTCTAGTTGCTCATCATCTTCTGCAAAATCTCAGATTTTTCTGTCTTCTAATCCTTCATCACTTCATTCATTAAGCAAGCCAACTTAAATTTTTTGTAGACTAAGGATGGAAGCAAGAATTAATTTTTTTAAACTCGCTGATCAATTTAATTTTTGTAAGGCCCCTGTGTTCATTTTAGTCATGACGTATTTTTTCTGTGTTTTTTATTGCAAAAATGCATCATGACTTTTACGACAACCCAATATTAAATACCAAGGACTGAAATTACTGGATTATATGTAAAGAATATGTTTAATTTTGTAAGAAATTTCCAACCTGTCTTCCAAAGTGGTTGTACTTTTTGGGGGGTGGGAGTGGGGGAGGGGCAAATCAGAATATTTATTGGAGAAATAACTTGGGAGTTTCCCATTAGTAAGATATTTAATTCTTTAACAACAGTATTATTATTTTTGTTTAACATAGCATGCATCTCCATTTATTTAGGTCTTCCCTAATTTCATGAGCAGGTTTTATTAGTTTGTATTATACAGATTTTGCACATTTTCTTGAAAAGTATTGCTAAATTTTATATATTTTTATACTGAAATTAGAATTTTAAAATTTATTTTTTATTAAATATATTGGGCTGACATTGGTTAGTAAACTTATATAGTGTACAATTGTATAATACATCATCTATATAGTGCATTGTGTGTTCACCACCCAGAGTCAATTCTCCTTCCATTAGCATATATTTGACCCCCTTTACCCTCTTCTGCCATCCCCTCTCTCCTCTTACCCTCTGGTAACCACTAAACTATTGTCTGTGTCTATGAGTTTTTGTTTCTTTCTTTCTTTGTATTGTTCCTTTGTTGCTTTCAGTTTTATATCCCACATATGAGTGAAATCATACAGCTCTTGACTTTTTCTGTATGACTTATTTTGCTTAGCATGATAATCTCAAGGTCCATCCATGTTGCAAATGGCAATGTTTCATCTTTTCTTATCGTGGAGTACTATTCTGTTATATATATGTACCACACCTTCTTTAGCCTATGATCTATCAAAGGACACTTTGGTTTTTTTCCATGTCTTGGCCACCATGAATAATGCTACAATGAAAATAGTGGTACATATATCTTTATGGATAAATGTTTTCAGATTTTTGGGGGTAGATATCCAGAAGAGGGGTTGCTGGGTCATATGGTAATTCCATTCTTAATTTTTTGCGGAGCCTCCATAGTGTTTTTCATAGTGGCTGCACCAATTTAATACCCACCTGCAGTGTACGAGGGTTCCTTTTTCTCCACAGCCTCTTCAACACTGTTATTACTTGTCTTTTTGATAGTAGCCATTCTAATAGGTGTGAGGTGGTATCTCATTATGGTTTTGATTTGCATTTCCCTAATAGCTAGTGAAGTTGAGCAGTAATGAATGAGAGCTTCTGTTGCTACACATTCTTGCCAGCCTTTGGTGTTTCTTTCATTGTAGTCTTGTCTTTTCTAATGTCATCCATTCCTACAATTCACTTACGTCTTAAGGACGCCTTGTCTCCCCTTCTACTTGCATATCTTAATGTCTCCTTAAACTCAACAAATTTGAAACCAAATCCCTAATTCTCTCTTCTTGGGAAGAAGCAGGACCTGTGTCAAACACTATTGACTGTATAACTTAACATTCATTCCCAATCATATTCTTTTTTGTTTGCCTTTCCTATAGGCTCTAGAGAGGTTAAACACAATCCCAAGCCTTTCGTTTTGCCAGTGAGGCATGTGAAGAATTCTTCAGCAGGGGTGGGAGAAGTTGGAGTGTCTGTGAAAGAGTTTGTGTCTTCTTGACAAAGGATAGATGCATGCGGCACCATTCCTTCCCTTTTTGCTACCTCAAATACTTACCGCTGCCTGGAAGTGCAGCAGCCATTTTATAGTCATGAGGAAAATGCCAAGAGAAGTTAGCCTTTAGCATCATTGAGCCCCTAGTCAGGGAACCACTGTGAGAACATAAGTAACTATACCCCAGTTCTTTTTTCAGGTGACAGAAATAGTGCCGTGTATTTTAAATCACTCTTAATAGTTTTTTATTCATTTCCAAGTCTATCAATTAGCATCTATTAATTACTGGCACTTCCATACTCCTAGACATAAGCTAACATAATTAACATAATCTTCATACCCTTACAAGGTCTCACCTACCACAAAGCAACTTAGCATCTAGTTTTGTCAATTCTGAACAGTGATTTCCTTCTATTTTTTTTCTCCCATTTTTATCATCCTACCTCTACCCTTTGTTAAGTTCATGATCTAGACCAGGGGTCAGCAAACTGTGGCTCACGAGCCGCATGCAGCTCTTTGGGTTCATTCCGTCTCAAAAGTGTGCCCACCCCTGGAAGAGCCAATCCTGTCCCTCACAACAATTTAAATATTATTCAAGAGCCATAAATATATTTTTACAAGTAAGGAAAATTTAAAGTAATATTATAAATGAAACTATGATAGTTTTATTTTCATTTTCAATTTTACTTCAGAGCCACATGTATGTACCCAAAGAGCCGCATGTGGCTCGTGAGCCACAGTTTGCCGACCCCGGGTGACTCTTCTGTCTCAAAAGTTTGCCGACCCCTGATCTAGACTGTAATAGTACCCTCCTATCTAACTTTTTTTCCCTCAGTTTCTCACCTCTTTAATCAGTTGTCATGCTTCTATTAGCTGTCATTATAAAAGTGATAGGTGACACTTTTCTATTCAAAATCCTTCACTAAGTCTTGCATTTTCAGCGCTGTAAGAAAATAAAGATATTCTGAATGACCCTCCTGATAAAAACAGTTAAAAGGAGTGGTTAAAATTAATATTTTAAGAATATTTTACAGGAACATTACTGAGAAGACAGGAAAATAAGGAATTTGAAGAGGCCTAAACCAAAGTGGAAATAGAAAAAAACAAGACAAAACATGGGAAATAAGTGATTGCCTAAAGCAGTCTCTTACCCTGAGTGCATTTGTCAAACCTTGGTGAATTTGAGCTTGCATTTTGATGGCATCAGGCACAAGACAGACAAGAACTAGTCCCGGAGCCCATTTAAGCCAGAGATTGTAATGAGATATGCTTTCCCGAAGCCGGGATCCTAGATGGCCACAGCATTAGTGTTTAGGTGAACCGGAGTCAAGCCCGTCACACACAATAAGACAACAAGGTAACTTGATTTATTTGACTGTGGAAGGCGGAAGAAAATCCCTGAGAATTATCATCCACAGCCTCCTTTTAGGCAGCTTAGAACCTTACAGGTTGCCTGAATTCTTCCTTTCTGTGTGGTTCTAAAAGCTGAGGATTTAATTTGAAGTAGCCCCTACCCTGCAGGGGCCAATA